CCGTGTGTTCCATCTGCCACTTCTTTGCCCACACTCCTAACCTGTCTAAATCTCTCTGTAGCCTCCCTGCCTCCTCAATACTACCTGTCCCTCCACCTATCTTTGTATTATCTGCAACTTTAGCCAGAATGCCCTCAGTTCCTTCATCTAGGTCATTAATGTATACAGAGAAAAGCTGTGGTCGCAACACTGACCCTTGCAGAATACCACTAGTCACCGGCTGCCATCCTGAGAAGGACACTTTTATCCCCACTCTCTGCTTTCTGCCAGACAGCCAATCTTCTATCCATGCTAGTACCTTGCCTCAAAACCGTGGGCCCTTATCTTACTCAGCAACCTCCTGTGCAGCACCTTGTCAAAGGCGTTCTTGAAGTCCAGGTAGATAACATCCATCGGCTCTCCTTTGGCTAACCTGCTCGTTACCTCCTCAAAGAATTCTAGCAGATTTGTCAGGCATGAGCTCCACTTGATGAAACCATGCTGATTTTGCCTTACTCTACCATGCGCTTCCAAGTATTCAGAAATCTCATTGTTCACAATGGACTCCAACATCTTACCAACGACTGAGGTCAGGCTAATACTTCCACGATCTGTTCGGTTATCTCCTCAGTACTCTGGGGTGTAGGCCATCTGATCCAGGTGATTTTCCCACTTTCAGACCTTTCAGTTTTTCTAGCACCTTCTCCTTGGTGATGGCCACCATACTCGCCTCTGCCCAGACTCCTGAATTTTTGAAACGTTACTCATGTCTTCCATGGTGAAGACCGGCACAAAGAACTTGCTCAGTTCCTCCACCATTCCTTTGTTCCCTACTCTTCTCCCTCCTTACTTCTTTTTCAGTCATCCTTTGTTGCTCTTTGTAGGCTTGCCAATCCCCTGGCTTCCTACTGCCCTTCGACGCATTATTTGCTTTCTCTTTCCTTTTTATGCAGTCTCTGACTTCCCTTGTCAGCCATGGTTGCCTCATCCTTCCTTTAGTATGCTTCTTTTTCCTGATGACTCCCATAAACTCCTGCCAGGCTCCTCTCCCAGTCAATTCTGGCCAGCTCCTCCCTCATGCCTCTGCAGTTGCCTTTATTCAATTGTAATACCGTTACATTTGACTCCAGCTTCTCCCTCTCAAATTGCAGACTAAATTATATCATATTATGGTCACTGCCTCCTAAGGATTCCTTCACCTTAAGCTCCCTTATCAAGTCTAACTCATTGCACATCACTAAATGCAGAATTGCCTGTTCCCTAGCAGACTCTACCACAAGCTGCTCCAAAAAGCTATCTTGTTGACATTCCACAAATTCCTTTTCTTGTGATCCACTACCAATCTGATTCTCCCAGTCCACCTGCATATTGGAATCCCACATGATCACTGTAATCTTGCCTTTCTTACTTGCCTTTTCTACCTCCTGTGTACCTTGTGCCCCACATTCTGACTACTGTTTGGAGGCGTGTACATAACTCACATTATGGTTTTTTTTCCACCTTTGCTGTTCCTCAACTCTACCCACACAGATTCTAAATCATCTGACCCTATGTCATTTCTTGATATTGATCTAATTTCATTTCTTACTAATAAGGCAACCCCACCCCCTTTGCCCAACTGCCTGTCTTTTTGATTGGATGTATGTCCTTGGATTTTTGGCTCCCAGTCCTGATCCCATTGCAGCCACATCTCCACGATGCCCACCACATCATGTCTGCCAATTTCAATCTGCGCCACAAGCTCATTTACTTTATTTCATATACTGCATGCGTTCAGATACAACACCTTCAGTCCTGTATTTACTTTCCCTCTTACACTCATCCCTTTATCCGATGTGCTTGAAGTTAGATTCCTAACTCTTTCCAAAGACACTGTCCTATTTTGTGTTCTGGAGGCTTTAATAACCTCTCCTGAGTTCTCCTTTCTTTTCATTTTTTTCATGCTTTTCCATGCAGTTGAATCCACCCCGATAGATGTTAACCTGCTGCTTTGTTCCCCAAAGGCCATTGTACTTTTTGGAGTGCTACCCTTTCCTCCCCCATTGGACCAAAGGGTCTGTTTCTATGCTCTAGGACTCTGACTCTACTGAAGACTTGCTAGCATTTTTCAACAAGATTCATACTATCCACAAGGCTCAGGCCTTTCAACATTTGTATTCCTGTTTGGGAGCTGACTTCAACTGACTGCCAGGTGTGTGAAAAATTACAAGAGAAACGTATCTGCAGATAAACTTCTGATTCAGCTTAATGGACAGGTTTTTCTCCCTTCACAAGGATCTCTTCATTTCTTGAAAGCACAAATTCATGCTGGGTAAAGTTAGAAAAAAAAACCAACCTCCAGCAATTTTCCAGGAGGTCAGTCTTCATATGCAAGCCCAGTTGGTAGGATTTTGCAGGCAATTCAATATCCATTGCATAGGTAAATCCAATGCTGTCCTCACTGGACATCCACAGATAAGCAACCTCCAACTGATATCAGTGGAGGGTGACCAGGATAAAGCATTGCTGAATTTTCAATGGACAAATTGGGCTGAAAATGTGTCAAAGTACCTATTCTCTTAGTGCTGCCTGTTTCCTGACCTTGCCGGTCTAAGAGTTGGCAAGTCAAATAGTGTTCTAAACTTCCTAAAGGATCCATACCAGTTTTCTCTCCTGAACCCAAGTGCTGAAGTTAATCATAATTCCTCAGATTCAGATCAGTTATCTGCAAACACCAGGCAAACTGTAGATTCTCCTGGGCTGTATTACTCTAAAACATTATCTCAATCAGCAGAACAACCTTGCTCTTCTACACTATTAACAGCACAAAGCTTGAAATTCAGAACAAAGCCAGTTTGGCAAATAAGTTCCTGACTGAACACTTTGCTTATGTACAATAATAAATACAAACATTTGCAAGGCTGGTTTCTAAATCACTTACTGACTGAAAACGGACTTTCAAAGATGAAAGAATTAACTGACAAATATTAAAGATCAATTGCCAATTTACTAATGGCAAGGAGGGTATTGCAAAAATGTAATACAGTTCTGATACTCATGAGAAGCTGGGAACCAGCAATTTCCCAGCCTACTGCGCTGCCACTAGTTATTCAGAGATCTATTTTAAGCTACCATAAAAAAAACTGGAGTGCCTGCTCTGTTTTACAGTTGCCATTTCCATGACAACATGGAGTGAAACATGATTTTACAGCAAATGTACACTACATGGATTAAATTTCATATGGATCGAGGAAAATGAAGCTGGCTCAAATTTAAGTATTAAGCTTCTACCTTCACCTCAAGAGATAGAGCAGGTTACCACATGCTTCAGATTTTTGCCCATCCTCATTGCTTCCACTAGATCCAAACATTGGGCATTTGTTGTTATGTAAATGCAAATGATCAGAGATTCCTCTGATATGCAACAGAAAACTAATGCAAAAGCCAAAGCTAATCAAAGCTTCTGGCTGGCAATGAGCAGATAAAAAATTATGCGAAGCAGATGAGTGATGGCATGAAGGAACAATACAGTACAGTAAAGGATGAAAATAAACAAGTGACATAACAACAGGCACAGACTTGAAGCAAATATTTTAACTGGACAGCCACTGAATCAGGAAACACCAGAGAAATGGAATGGGAATACTCATGGACCCTCTTGGGGCCCATTTCAATCATTACACTCTACCATGTCTAGACAAGTACAGTGCTGGACAATGAGAGATTATGACGACTATACCCTTAATCTCAAACATGCTGGAGCTTACTATGTGCATAAGGAAAGGCTATAATGCCTGCAAGTGTCATGAACCAAAAATATCAAGATGACAATTCTACATAAACCCTTGCAGATACTCCCGTGATGCGCATATCAAGCCAGGTCTGAAAGTGCCAAACAATATTCAAGAACAACTGACTTACTGGGCATGGAAGAATATGGACATTGACAATATCCCAACTCTAGTACAAAGGACTGATGCATCTGAGCCAATCAAGCCTTTCCAGCACAGCTGCTACTGGCATCTGAAAATATGAAAGATTTCCCAGGATCCACGAAACAGAATAATGTAAAGTTGATATAATTCCAGTGAATTACTCTTTAATAAAAAGGTAAAGTCAAGACAGTCCTTTCAGATCAAAGGGCTGCTCTGTCATTAAAGAGAGAGATGATTGGTGGTAGTTTAACCTGAGGGTCACCATGCCTCAAGTGAGGGAGAGGTTAAAAAGGAGAGTCCTGTGTCATAGAGTCAGCTGGTGTGGGAATTGAACTCACACTGTTGGCACCAATCTGCATCGCAAAACAACCATCCAGCAACTAATCTAACCAATCCCACTCTCCAAAAAGCCTCTTCTCAGTCAGTCATAACAGGTATTGTCAATGCTTCCAAAATCATGGATCGGAATTAAGCGGTTCATTACATTGGAATCACCTGGGTGGGCAACAAGAGCAAAATTAAAAATACGAAAAAGAACTATGCACGCACTAGCATAAATTTAATTTTGCACGGTTGCACTCACAACAGGCATTAATTGACAAGCACA